TCAGATAATTAATTTATCTCACACTTTCCAACTTTCTTCCGATTTTCCATGTGGGAATCTTCGACCGATGAAATAAGTACGGCTCACCAGCGGAAGAGCGGTAAAATCCCTGAACACTGGTAGTTCGATCCGAGGTTCCAATGCCGCAAACTGGCCGGTTGCATGGGCGTTTTCGTGGTTTTTCCCAGGTGTAACACGTGTTAATACGAACCAGTTCTCTTAGAAAGTTCTCTACGAAGGCATCCTCCCTTCCGTGTAGTGCCTTGGGACGGAATACGTTAATAATAGTAATACTTATGATGATATAGCACATAATGCACCTATGCAGAATTAATTTGCTAAAGAACTGGGCACGTCAGTCAATTATTCTCAGTGTAACTTGATTTTTGAGATTATTTCGTCATATTATTATAGGTTACTACTTGTTTTCCTTGCAAGTTTCCATGCAGATAAAGACTGGCCGGTTTTATGGGAACATTCGGGTGTGTAGTGACAAACTATTTTTTTTTATTAGCAATATTAACAAATCTTTTATTTGGGTTTTTTTCGAAGAATGTATGCTTGTATGATGATATACGATTGTCACATTTATGATTTTTCTATTAACGTAGCAATATTTTAATTATTAAGAATATATGAATATAAGAATTCATAAAATGGGAATGGACAAACTAATGTTGTAAGCAGGAATCATTTTTTTTAAGCATACATTTTATGTATGTAGTATGATTTTTTTTTTACAATTCGAGATCACGTCTTTTTTCCTCCTCTACATTTCATGTAAATAAATAAGAGGATGCGTCTCACAGACTTTTCCTTATTACTAACTATTTCGAAGTAATTATCTTTATCAAATTATTAACATAAATATGCAAACTATTTCTTTTAACAAATTAAAATTAAAAATATTGACTAGATGTATTTTAATATTTTATTCTATGCATTTTATATGCCTAAATCTCTTTTTCTGTTGGTATCTTGAATCTGAGAAATACAATATTTATTAGAATTCTTTTTCAGGAGTACGAAATTAACTAATTATATGCAGAGTTTTGAAAGTTCTAGACGACAGTTATGAAATAATTTATGCCAATCGAAATAGAAGAAAAGATGTTAGTCTTTTTCATTTAGACTAATAAACCTTTAACCCAGTAATTTTATGTATTTCCAATATTTTAGAAGCTATATTTATCAGAGATACTGAGCATCTATTGTGTAAATTCCCATTTCAGATGCTTCATTTTTGGATACATGTGGATATACACTGACTACCAAGAAGTATTTGGACACCTATGCAAATGACGATATATGCGGTCCTAAGGTACGTCACGGACTTCGCCGGTACATATCGTGTAGGAAACAGCATCCGCTATCGTTGCATGCAAGATGCCTCGCAGTTCGTAGCTCTCTGATTTCGAGAAAGGTATAATTATCGGGTATCACAAATGTGGCCGATCCTTAAGGGACATATATAGCGATCTGAAGTACCCAAAATCGACAGTGGCCTATGTGATTAAGAAGTGGAAGGTGAGCGGTGATTGTCGGAATGTGCCCCGAGTCGGCAGACCAAGACACTCGGAGATAGAGACCGACGAGTGCTGTCCAGAGAAATTCGAAGAACCAAACCCAACCGATGGCCCTCATCCGCGAGGAGTTTCAACAGACATCCGGGACTATTGTTTCAATGAATACCATCCGTAAGGAAGCACATCTGCTTGGTTTTCATGGTCGTGCTGCTGCCCATAAGCCTTTGATCACAAAGTCCAACCGCGCTGCTCGGATAATGTGGTGCAAAGCACATCGAAATTGGACCGTAGATCAGTGGAAACGGGTTCTTTGGAGGGACGAATCAAGGTTCACCCTTTACCGTTCGGATGGCAGGGTCTGGGTCTGGCGTCTACCTGGAGAACGTCTCCTGCCAGAATGCATTGTGCCAACAGTTAAGTTCGGCGGAGGTGGAGGTGGAATTATGGTCTGGGGGGTGTTTCTCCTGGTATGGGCTGGAACCCTTGGTCCCCATTCATGGTAAGCTCAACTCCGATGCTTATGCACTATTTTGGATGACAATTTTTGGATATTGTTATATATAATATATATATAATATATAATTTTTGGAATACTGCACTATTTTGGATGACAATATTTTGGATGACAATTTTGGTGCAATTCCTATTTTGGATACTGTTTTGGATGGTTCCTACGTGCGGCAGTTTTACGGGTTGGACCCCTGTTACTTTCAGGACGACAATGCCAGTTGTCCTGTTTCGACGTTAACCAAGGCTTGGTATGGTGCCAATGGAGTTCATCGAATGGACTGGCCTGACCAGTCCAGACCTGAACGCTATGGAGAATCTCTGGGACGAGTTGCATCTCCGAATTCAGGGGTGCACTACCCGTGCAAAATCGGTGAAGGAACTTCTATGTCTTCTCCAAGCCGAGTGGAAGAAAATACCACTAGCTGTCATACAAAGACTTGTGGAAAGTATGCCCCGGAGGGTCCACGCTGTAATTACCTCTCGTGGAGGCTCTAGCAACTATTGATTTTGAATAAAGTTAGTTTTTCTTTTCTATCACAGGGTGTCCAAATACTTATTGGTAGTCAGTGTAGGACCTCAGTCTGCAAATAAATTACGAAATTTTTCATGCCTTGTACATACTTATATATATATATATATACATGCATGTAAAAGAATTTTTGATTTCTCTATATTCACATTAAATACATAAAAAAGGTTTTTATGTATCAGATATATTTATGAAACAAATAGAATGAATTTTGCTTTTCACATTACAAAGAAATGTATATTATTGTAATACATACTGCAGAAATGGAGAATTTTAGAAATAAATAATTGTAAAGATTTTCAAAAGATGTCAAATTTCTGTTGTATATATAATTTGACATTTTTGAAAGGTAAGATAATTTTTTTTTTTTTTTTTTTTTTTTTTTTTTTTTTTTTTTTTTTTTTGTGTGTGTGTGTGTGTGTGTGAGCTTTACACATTAATTTTATGCTAATTATTTCCTGTAACTTTCTGCTGTTAATCGTATCAGAAGGAAAATTAGATATAGTTTAAATTGCAAGAAAATTTGTAATTTGGGCGGAATCAAAACAACCAGAAAATCTGGAATTTAGAGAGGTATTTAAAGAAAATATGTAATTTAGAGAATACGTTTATCAACGTACCAGGAAAGTAGTTTATCTCACAAGCCGCCCCCCCCTTTTAGTAGAGCTTATTTTAATTAGCGTTTTCTTTCATTTGTTAAACGTTTAAGACTAACTCTCTCAGTTTTATTATTTCTTTTGCGTGTTCATTTATAAATAAATGCTTAATTGTCTTCATTATTAGCCCCTAGATTCTTTAATAATGGATAAGAAGAAATATAGAGTGTTTATAAAGTCCCAGACCCATTTTGATGTTTAATAACTCATAAAATAATGAAGATATAAACAAACTTTTGGCATTTATTGATGGAATAACTTATATATTTTCCTTTTCAGGTTTGAATATCTTTACTTTTGTAAATATCGTCTGCGCGTGTGGTTAATTTCAGATAATTTCATTTTCCAGTCTAAATATTTGTACTTTTCTAAATATCGTCTGCATAATCTAAAAGTGCATAATGTTCTCAGAAGAAGCATCCTTTCGTGTTTCTGGCATTGTTAATTGCCATAATATGCGCATATGGGGATCTGAAAACCCCCATGAATACCGTGAGGCACAAAGGGATTCCCCAAAGGTTAATGTGTGGTGTGGACTAATGCATGACCGAGTCATTGGGCCTTTCCTTTTTTACAGGAAAGACGGTCTCATCAGTCGTATACTTAGACATGTTGGAAAACTTCGCATTTCCACAACTAGAAGAGCTTCAGCTTGGTATGTCTTTTTGCAACAAGATGGTGTGCCACCTCATTGAGGTACCATCGTTCGTAGTTCTTTGAATGACCATTTTACAGGAAGATGGATTTGGCCAGGAGGTCCAATTCCTTGGCCACCCAGATCACCTGATATAACGCCGCTGGACTTTTTCCTTTGGGGATTTGTAAAGGACAACGTTTACAGGAGGAGAGTGTCGAACATGGATGACCTAAAAGCCAGAATTACAACAGCAATGTGTATGCCGACATGTATGCCGACATGCTTGCCGGTACCTGGCATGAAATTGAATATCGACTTGATATTCTTTGTGATTTTGACTTGATATTCTTGATATTCGAAGGGGGCACACGTGGAGGTTCATTGACAAGGGTCATGAAACTTTTTGAGTCTAACCCTTTATGTTATTAATTTTAGTCTATCTTTATTATTTTATGAGTTATTAAACATCAAAATGGGTCCAGGACTTTATAAACATCCTGTATATGTGTTATAACATAACAATTAATTTTATTTTGGAAGCAATCTTTCCTATAGCTCTTGTTTTTCACCATGCTTTCTTGCCAGAATGAGATTTCAATTCCGCACATTATGTAAAATTACGTAGAAAGAGCTATTATTTAAGCGGGTGTCTGAGTGACTTCAGACAGAGCGTGTTCTGCCTTTCGGCCACGATGTTTATTTGTTAGTTAAGCTTGCTATTTTACGTCCTTGCATATTAACTGCCAATTACTCTGCGCCGGTGGTAGGGCTGAGTTGCCACCAAAAGTATTGTCATGGACCTGTAAGCAGCTGCAGTGCCAACTGCAAATATTGTTCTTCGGTTGAATAAAAGAGTATTTTTACACTTTTCCTGTGTAGTTGCTGATACAGTTGAACTTGGTTCCAAAGCTTAGTTCTGTCAATTTTGTGTCAATTTTGTGTGACTCCACAACGCAAAAAGTTTTGGGAGTTTTTTATTCAAATTTATTTAATGTGGTTCTGCTATCATAAGTTAATTTCATATTTATTGATAATTAATTGTTAATTATAATTGTTTATTTTTATTCATTCGTTATTACATTCTAAAATGTGCTTTTTTTCTTTACCCCTAAAGATAATATATGCATGAAAAAGCCGATAAGTGCACTGATAGTGGAAATTCCAACTTTATTTACAATGTTATTTGTTTATAAATACATTTCCTTTTGTACTAACTGTTACTTAAAATGTCCATTATTTTGGAATTATCACTCTTTGACTTGCTAGGAGTAGAAATCTTCATAGTAACAAAAGATTTCATTTAGCGCAGATTAGGTATCTGCTGTGTAAATTCCCATTTCAGATCTTGTTTCAGTTATATGATGTTCAATTTACTGAATTGTTTCGTAATTCTCCTCGTGTAGCGCTTTTTTGAAAAGTAATATGTTCTTACACAAATCGAACTCTTGCACGAAGCCCTTTTCCTTCCATTTCATCGTCTGCTGTTATAAGAATAATAAATGTTCCACCTTTTGAAGTCATTTTCGTTCCTGGTTCGATATCTGTTCCGCAGTAGCTGAAAAACAAAACAGATTAAAAAAAACTTATAAAAAAAGTCTGAGAGCTTTCAGACTTTATATTACGCCGAAAGGGACATTTTTTTTAACGTTTTGTGTTAACTTTCATGTTCTTTGCACTTACACCATAAAATTCAATTCAACAGCAATATTGCAAAATAATTTTAAAATGAGCTTATCTTTAGAATTTCCGATACACAGTATTCCATGCTGGAGATAATTCCCCCCCCCCCGTACAGTGTTGCCAAGTGTTGTTGTAAGTGTCGCTTTTAAATCGTTGAGTTTGTTAATCAAGAATTCGTTAAAGTGTTACAAAATATGAAATCGATAGTAAAACAAATTCCAAATTCCAAATTAGGGCTTTTAGATGCCCATATTCGGTGGAAGATTACGTTATTAAAAATTGGATTGCTCTAGGTACCGTTGTTTTATTAAAATGCAAGAAATATACATACATTTATGCAGATTCTTCAAATATAATGCAGGACTCTAACATTGGGTGGCAACAGTTTGAAAAGTGAAACGGACATTTATAGTCATTCAACGCAAAATCGCAAAACGAAATCAATAGCTCTTCTGGGCTAACGCCCTTTGGGCTAAAAATATTTATTTATTTTGGAAACAACAGAGTGTGGGACATTAAAGTAAAAGATTTCTTTAGGTAGAAAGGTTAGAACACTAACGATCAGATCAGGAATTAACATCGAGAACGATTAGTACACTTATTAATATCTAATGAATTTCAATCGTTTTATTTATTCTTCACGAGATCATGAGAGAAGATTTGGCCATGGTGATGATGTGTATGAGCTTTTTGCCATCATGTAGCAAAAACAGAACAAATAAATAAATGTCAAGGTTTTTTGCAGCAGCATGGAAAATGATGAAACTGTTTTCAAAGACTGATAGCCGATGGCAAATCTTGTGTTATATAATATGACTGCGAAACGGCAGCGTTCATGTATTATTAGAGATGTAAAGGAATCAGCAGTAATTTTCATAAATTTTCAGTACTAATTTCGAAAGTATGCCTATAGAATTTTGTCTTTCAGCTGCCCCCCCCCCCCCCCAGGAGTGAAAGTGATGAAGGTGATGCCTGTGCTCATGCGATACCAGTGAAGAGAAAATTCGAAAAAGTTCTAATAAAAAAGTGGAAACAAAACTACTGTTGCCATCTGTTGATGAAAAATGAAAACAGCTCGGAAGTAACTAATTTAAAACCTGAAAGTAAAGTCGGATTGGAATTGGACTACTATTAACTAGAACTGAAAGCTTTTCATGAATATGAAACGCCTCTAGAAAATCTAATTCGCCAACGGAATATATATTTTGAATCTCTAATAACCGTTACTCCGAGAGTTGATTTTACTTTAATCAGTGTGCATACAGTCAGAACAACTGTGATGGACTAACAGAAGTTGACCACACTTGGACTGCTCGAGACACTGACGGCTGAAGAAATAATTTACTTAGAAAGTGACGAGTATATAAGTTTCTTTCAAATAATTTTCTTAGCAACAATCTTGTTACACATAAACACACCTCGCGCGTGAAAATTTAAGAAAGAAAAAAAGAACTGAAGGTTTTAAGTTTTAAAGGTAAACGAAAAGGTTTTGTTAAGGTTTTTTTATGTTCTCGCTCAGCTCGCAATCTACTAGTCTGCTGTTACAACTAACTACTAACCCTTTTTTTTTTTTTTTTTGTCTTTTCAGCTTTATTATTAAGTAGCATTTTCTTCACACTTACGCCATATACAATTCAACAGCAAATTTGCAAAAATTTTAAAAGCAGCATAGCAGTATACGTTTAGAATTCCCGATGTAGTGTTAAGCGTTAGCATACATTTTCTATCCCCCCCCCAATCTTTTCTCAGCTCAGCATATCAATGTTCAGTTTGCTTACTAAATTGGCTTTACAAAACCGTTTTTCCTATCTTTTAATTATTAACATTTTGTGTATTTACTTTATTTGTTAAATGGCACGTTCTTGGTGCTTACGCTACATAAAACTCACTTCAACATCAAAATCACAAAGTATTTAAAAACAGCATATCTTTAGAATTCGCGATAAAGTCTAGCTTCGCTGCATGTTTTTTTTTTTTTTTTCCTTACAGTGCTGCCACTTCTCGCTTTGAAATTGTTGAATTTGCTAATCAAAAATCCGTTAAAGTTTTACAAAATATGAAATAAATAATAAAAAAAAAATCGAATTTCAAAATTCGGGCTTCCAGGTGCTCATGTTCGGGTAGAGAACTACGTTATTCGAAATCCGATGGCTCTAGGTACCGTTGGTTTTTCGCAGTGCGAGAAACATGCATACAATCATGCAGATTTTTCATTATTTAATTTCTTTAAATGTAATACAAGACGATAATATTTAGTGGCAACGATCTGAAAAGCGATACACCGTTTATAGTGATTAAATACAAAATGGCGGACTAATATATCGTTCGGGACCAACGTCCCTTTTGGGCTAATAATAAGGCATATTTCATGGTTCTCACATTCTAACTAAAAAATCAAAATCTTATTCAAAAATACTTACAATGTACCAGAGTAGTAATCCGTATTTCTTATTTCCACTCTTTCATGAACGCATCTGCCGTAGTATGAACTTGACTGCTGTTGCAGTCTTTCTCGAAAGCTAAATTCATAGAATTCTACTTCCACTTCTTTTCTGCTTGGAGCCTATTTTCGAATACACAAAAATAGATTTCTAAGCATATCAGAAATATATTAATTTATAAATAAATGCATTTTGATCAGTTCAAAAGTGTTATTGTTTCTTACGGGGAGGAGGCAACAATAGATTGAAAGCATGTTTGAAAATAATTTTCAGATGGAATCCGTATTGGAAGCAATAGCACACTTACTCATGCACATGTGTGTTGTACCTATGGCAGCAGTAACATTTATAATTAGCTTTGCTAGCTGCTTTGGGAATGTCTAAAAAGATGAAAAAAATTAATTAAAATTTTATGGAGATGGTCAGATAATAAGGTATTTCTCCCGCTTTCCTAGCGTGCCTTCGTGGTGTAGTGGTTCTGTACGCTGGGCGGTTGGTATTCCAGAGGTCCGTGGTTCGATTCCCGGCGAAGACGATTGCTCATTCTTCATCTCTCCGGCTTTTCCAATTAACTTAATGTCTCTGCAAGATGTCTTGAGAAAATCTAAGACTAATATAATAATTTCTTAGTTATGCTAGTTTAAATCTAAAGTTCATATTTAAATTCGTTCATCATTTAAATCTTAAGTTCATCTTGATAAAAATTTAAATTTACATAAAAACAGAAGCCTAAGAATGTGAATATACAGTACTACTTAGAATCTTAGTTTTACTTAAAACATATAAATACAAGTTGACATCAGGGCTTAATTTCTAAAATTAGATGTTCCAGAGCCCAATGTTAAACCGCTAGGAATGATGGTTAAAATCTGACAGGGAAAAATAATAATTAAAAAAAAAAAAAAAAAAAAGACTCTAAAATAAAGCTCGGCCGGGGATGGGCCAGGAGTTGCAAGGAATCGTGGTTAGAGAAAGCGTTTCTTTGACCATGTCTCCATCAAGCGAAGTCCCAATCACATTATGTTTCGGCTACGCGGGACCTTGACGTCGAAAGGGACAATTTTCAGAACCCGCACCATTCCAGGAAATACACGTAGCTAGGTTATCATTCTCACTTACTAAAAAGACTTGAACCCCAAATAGTAATCGATTATCGCTCAAATCGGTATCACGTGATCCTTCAGAAGCAGAACTTTCGTCTGATTGTTTGTCTCTATCCGGGACTCGATACATTTTCGGTGAGGTTTGAAAAAATCCCGCGTAGCCGCAACATTGCTTCCGTAACTAGGTGGGACTTCGCCTCCAGCGGGGTTTTTTTTCTCTAGGAATGCTCCCATTTAAACCAATGCTACCAGAATCTCGTTTCTCAGAAAAGTCCCGTCTAGCAGGGACTGTAGCCATGTGTGATAACCTCTTAAGATTCAGGAGTGGTTTTACCCCTGACAAACATTCCGCTTTAAGAGGTTATCACATATGGCTACAGTGCCTGCTAGACGGGACTTTTCTGAGAAACGAGATTCTGGTAGCATTGGTTTAAATGGGAGGATTCCTAGAAAAAAGAGCCCCTCTGGAGGCGAAGTCCCACCTAGTTACGCAATGTTGAGGCTACGCGGGATTTTTTCAAACCTCACCGAAAATGCATCGGGTCCCGGCTAGAGACAACCAATCAGACGAAAGTTCTGCTTCTGTAGGATCACGTGATCCCAATTTGAGCGATAATCGATTACTGTTTGCCGTTCAAGTCTTTGTAGTAAGTGAGAATAGTAACCTAGCTACGTGTGTTTCCTGGAATTGTGCGGGTTCTGAGAATTATCCCTTAATTCTCAAGTCCCGCGTACCCGAAACATAATGTGACTGGGATCTTACTCATGAGAGCGAACGTAAAGTTCTGCATAAGTGACAATTTCTGTCCAACATACTTGGTTACATTAATGGAATAATGAGGAAAGAACGTGTCTAGGACGTGTTTGAGGAGTTTATCTCAGTATTTCACTCTATCATGCTCGATGTCACTTAAAACGCTTTTAAGAATATACATTCCTTTTCCTGCGAGGATAACTAACAGTAATCATCGATAACATTAGAAACGATGGCACGACGAGAAATTCACGCTGCAGTAAATTTGTTTACCTTCTTAGGAGAGACAATTTTCGATATATGGATGAGAGTAGTATCCCTTAAATACACTCTTTTGAAAAAAAAAAAAAAAAAAAAAAAAAAATCTGAAATGTTTTAGATTTTAAATTACGTCCAAAGGGGCGTTTTTTAACATTTTGTGTGTTACCTTTCTTTATTAAATATCATGTCCTTTGCACTTAAACCATAAAATTCAGTTCAAGAGCAATATCGCAAAATAATGTTAAATTAAGCATATCTTTAGAATTTCCGATATACACAGTCTCGCGAGCTGGAGATAAAAGTATTTTTTTTTTCTATATAACGTTGCCATTTCTCGCTTTTAAAGCATTGAGTTTGTAAATCAAAAATTCGTTAAAGTTTTACAAAATATAAAATCTATAATAAAACAAATTCCAAATTTGGGATTTCAGATGCCCATATTCGCAGTAGGATTTCGTCATTCAAAATTCGATGGCTCTATGTACCATTGTTTTATCACAATGCGAGAAATAGACAATCATTTATGCAGATTTTTCATTATTTAATTTCTTCAAATATAATGCAGGACTCTAACATTTTGTGGCAACAGTTTGAAAAGTGAACCGACGGTTATGAGTCCGACGCAAAATCGCAAAACGAAAGCAATAGTCCTTCGGAACTGAAATCCCTTTGGACTAAAAAGAAAAAAAGAAAAAATGGAAGCACCAAGAAGGATTTTTGCGAGCGTGACGTAATTTGGTACGCAAAAACATCTTGATCGAACACACAAATGATCAATGTCTTGAGACACATGAACAGGAATTGCAATCATAGCGCGCATTTCTAGAGTGCAATTAGCAAAGTATAAAACCAGTAACAGAGGCGGAAAATTTATTTATTTTTTTTGTTGCTGCCATGGTAATTCCGTAAAGAAGCAACTAAAGTTGCCATTACGACGATATCGAAGACCTTACAGACAACTAAACGACTTCAAACGTGGTCGCATTGTAGGGTTGCGTGAAGCTGTGTGGTCATACCGAACAACAGGCCTTCACCTGCAGCGTATAGACACTGCTGTGCAAAGATGTTGGCAGCAATAGTTGCTATAAAGAAATTGCCGACGAAATGAAGGCTCTGGAAAGCCAAGGATCACGAATGCGAGGCAAGATAGGATGATTGTTCGCCAGGCCAGAACCGCCCCAACGGTATCAATGTCGACTATTCAACGCACTACAGCCACGTCTATACCTCCCGTAGTACCGTCCACCATCTCACGGCGCTTGTCTGAGGCGGAATTACGCTCACAAAGGCCTTTAAGACTTTTGCCTTTGACGCCACAACATCGGCAGAGTCGTCTGGAGTGGTATCGCAGCCGATCATCATGGCTGCCATCAGACTGGCATCGTATTGTGTTCAGTGATGAACCCCGCTTCACTCTTGAAGCAGATGACCACCGTGTTCGTGTCTGGAGAGGACGGGGCCAGCGGTTCCAATCAGCCTTTGTTTTACAAAGGCATACAGACATAACCCCTGGTGTGATTGTGTGGGGGTCTATTTCTTATGACAGCAGGTCATTTTTAGTCATCCTCCGTACATCTTTAACAGCTCAACGATATGTTGATATCCTCCTGGCGGCCAGTTACATTACCCTTCATGACACGTCATCCTGGGGCCATTTTCCAACAAGATGATGCAGGCCACATACCGCTCGCGTATCTCTGGACTGTCTCCCTGAGGTTGATACCCTTCCCCGGCCAGCAAGGTCACCAGACTTTTCACCAATCGAGCATTTTTGGGACATGGTAGGCCGCCAGATCCGGTAACCACAAAATATCGCAGATCTGGAGCGACAACTGATGAATGCCTGGCAGAATGTTTCGTAGGATGACATTAGGAACCTCTGCCACGCCTTGCCTCGACGAATTCAAGCATGCATTATCGCTAGGGGCGGTTCTCCCAACTAGTAATTCGAACACTCAATGTGTGATTGCGAGCCGTGAACAGGTACTCTGACCTTGATGTTTTAATAATTTTATTATCTGTGTATGAGCTATACACATATTCAATTTCATCAAAAACAACCACTTCCTACATGGTACTTCGATTTTTTTTTTTGCAAGTTTCTGTCGGGGTGTTGGTTTTCTTGAGCGTCTTATCTTCTACTCATGAGTTTGTATCGTAAGGAAATAGAGGACTGCAAGTTTTTACTTATTGTTAAAATAAAATTTCACGTATTGAATAAAATTTTCTTCTGAAATTATAGTTCAGTTTAAGAAAATGAAGTGCCGGAGCTCACCTTATTTATGGTTCCGCTGTGCTCCAGCTAGAATTACAATTTATCTTAAAAACTGAGAAGTATTGGAGCTAGGTTCCGGTGGGCTACCTCACAATTTAAGCACTGGTTGACATTGCAACAATCATCCAGACAATGAAAGATATGCTGACAAATGGCGGGTTAGAGCGGAGAGAAGGGTACCCCTTGTATTATCGCCAAGTTGTTGTTTCATTTATGGTAGCCTAAGTAGTTGAATGTTATGGAAAACCTATTATGAAGTAATCGGTTGCATGATTGCGGTAAATTCGTAAGGGCTTGTGGTGTGCGTGTTGGTTAGGAAGTATGTTGCTTGTTTTGTGGTTTAGACGGTAAAATGGCTGAATGTGGTAAGATTAATTTGAAGTTTCTGTATGATTTGGAAAGAAAGGGGAAAAGAGATTACTTGACTGGTGGTTTACTTAGTAGCCATTATTAGGTGTCCTGTTTGTAGGAAGGAAATGCATATGTTCGAATGTCTCTACGGAGGATATTTTTTGCTCTTATTTTGTGAATTTATGTGGCAACGCCAGTATACAGATTTTAGTTCAGATAATTTTAGGAAGTTTTTGGATGCTGTTAAGGAATTTTGTTGACCGATGACATGTAAATAAGGCAAGTGGATATTTCCTTTGTGTAGTGCAAAGATGAATTTCTTTTTTTAGTTACTTCATTGTTTGATTTAAACTGTAGTTTATTGAGATTATCTATTTTTTTTGTTGGCTGCTCCTTTGACTTTTTAAGTGAATATAGTTCGATGTGTACATGGACAAAGTCAAGGGAGTGCGAGTGCCTAGTTTGTGCAATTCTCTGATTTTTTTATGTGAAAATAGGTCGATGTTAACATGGGTAAAGTCAAGGGAGTCCGCAATGCCGAGTTTGTGAAATTCTCTGACTTTTTTATCAGGTAAAAATAAGTCGATGTGTACATGGATACTGATACTGAGTTTTGCAATTCTTCGTTTTGTTATTTTGGCTTTATGTAGCGGCGATTTTATACAAGCCACACAAAAGCCGTTACACAAGCCAAAATAACAAGTGAAAGAATTGCACAAACTCGGTATCCATGTACAATTAAAAACCGGCGATTTTCGCTAAGGGATACCCGTAAATATATTTTTACGAAATGGCGAATTGTAAAATGCAGAATTGAAATATTAAACAACAGATTAAAAACTTTTGGTAGTAGAAACTGTCTATTATGCGCTGTATCTCCGAAAGATGGGAGCAACGCATGACATATTATCAACCATTCCCAGATACTTTTGAGTGCACTACTTAAAATTTATATAATTTAGAAAATTTAAACAAAACAATTAATAATACCAATAGAAGATTAAATACCATACGCTATGTGATAAATAAAGGACTGAAAATCCAAGCATGAAATACAAATTTTTTTTCCTACATAGACTGTAATAGTCCAACCTTCTTATTCCAATTAATTACGGTATAAGGTATTTTCTCAATCCTTCGAGCATGCTTTCGTGGTATAACGTTAGGACACTCGGCGCGCATTCGAAAGGTCCAGGTTGGAGTTCCAGAGAGGACACTGCCCATTTTTCACATCTCCTATTTCAAAATAAGCTAATGACTCCACAACGGTATCAAACCTTCTGAAGCATTTCTTAAATCCAGTGCGATGGAAAGGGCAGAGAAAAACGGATTATTTGATATGAGTGGCAGGTAGCAGTTATCTATTAATCAATTCGACTATTATTGTAATAAATTTACATTATATTATTATTTTAATATACTTTTCAATGCAATAAATTTTTTATTTATTTAATTAGTTTGCTTCATTTCCATACATTTATTTTATTTTACATTGCATAACCATACATTATGTGGTCCGTTCTCAGTGAGATCTTGGACTTTCTTCGAAGCACTGCACCAACTTGGGAAGGCCAACTCGTTCTTCCAATCTTCAGTTTGAATCTACGAGTGAGCGGACAATGTATGGTTGTAGACAATATGTGGTCCCGGAAATAAACGAAATTGGCTGAGAAAGTGGTACGTGTGGCAGTTACTTAGTTCTACGTAGTTTTATTCGAAAAGCGGATGATGTTTGTATACGTGTTGGTTACAAAGTATATAACACACAAATGAGAAAATGCCATTCTTTATGGTAGGGATATGTTTTTAAATGACATGGTGACCATTTATGCTGTAAAATTATTTATAAAACTCACCGTTATTATCCAGCTGCAACTCATTTCAGGTTCTTTTCTTTCCGGAAAACCTGGTGTCTCAATAATGGCCTCATCAGTTATATTTCCGCCACAAGGAGGATCATCTAGAAAGCCAATTTCTCTTCAATTTCACTCTTCGCATTTTATAAAAGTATGATAATCAAACATGCATTGAATCTAGTTTTAAACAAATATTTATAAAAAACGCGGTGTACTAATATTTACCATAATATCCTCGCACAATTTCTTGGCATCTTTCTCCACGTGTGTGTGGGGGACATACACATGGGCAGGGGCCTTCGTCTCCTTCTTTGAAAGGTCCAAGATATCCACCGTTCTCACAATGCAACTGGCCACGGTTTGGACACTTAGCTGCAAAAATATATGAGGTTTCATATGAAACGAACTTAAGAACATCATAGTTCGCATAACATGCGCTATACAGCAGAACTGAACTAGATGACATAGAATGTTTTCAGATTTAACAAATATTCAAATAACTAATTTTGTTTAATTGTTTCAGATATTTAAAATACTTTAATACTATATTAATAACTGCATTACACTCACCATTAATGGGTATCTGATTAAAGAGCAAATCTAGAAAATTTTGTAAAGTCTTCAAATATTTTATGTGTTTTGGTACTGGTCTAAATTTAAATCGGAAATTAAAAGTCTGGAAAAAAGTTTAAACTTAATGATCACAAAATTAATATAAATTAAAAAATTAATAGAAAAGTGTTAAATCTGAAATTGAAGAATTTTTTGTGGGTTTTTTATATGAATTAGGCTAATCTGCATAAAAAGACTATTTAGAATTTGCAGTAGTATTTAAAAGTTGCCATGTTCCTAAGCAAACAGGCTACCAAATTTCAGCAAGATTTTCAACTAAATAAGTAAACAGATTACCAATGTAAGATGTGTTTCCCGTTTTACAAATACTTCATATATATATTTCTTATTATAAATTATTGGTTTTATATATATATATTTGAGGTAAATATTAATTTTTGAATTTACATTAATTTTGTGACGCAGATAGATACTGAAGCACAAAAAGCATAAGCTTGCAGCCATGGCTTTAGCTATGCATTTTGCGATAGTTAAATATTTTGACAAACAAAATACACTAATCGTGCTTTTCCAGAACGTAACATTTACATTTTTGACACTATCGTTGTAGGAAAAAAACAACGCGGTAGCGCCTTAGCGTCAACAAAAGCAGAAACAACCTGCTGTGTTCAGAACGAAAGCTTAATCAATGCATTCCATTGAATAATTAATAATGGTTTAAAATTAACGATGGCTGCTTTAGTTCCATTTACGTCATCAGCGTTATGTAAAGTCATATGACATGGATAAATCTAGAAATGATGCATTACAGAAAAGTTCTTATAAGCAATTGCTATTTCTGGAATAGGGGGAAATAGCCATATTAAAATGGAGAATTAAAGGGCTGTTGCTAATTTAAGTTAGAATTTTGAGATTCCTATTTTTTTATCTAACACATACACACACACACACACACAAAAAAAAAAAAAAAAAAAAAAATCTATCTATCTATCTATAAATAAGAATGGACCTTCAAAGCCTAAATCTAGAGCTCAAGCTGCTAAGATTATTAATTTTTTAATGAAATTATTAAAAGAGATTATCTCCTTGGAAAGAGATGATTATAATTTTTTGTAGTACAAAATTTAATAAAGAGTAAATTCTTAGCAAATGAACTATTATATTTTTAAAACTTAGTAATATTTGTCATTTCATTCTGGAGAAAAATTGCTTAAGAATTATAAAAATTATTTAAAAAGTAATAAAAACAAATTTAATTAATTCTAATTCCACGAAAACTAGCTGACTTTGTGAGAAGAATCAGCGTTCTCGATAGGATCGCCAACAATTGATAAGATCTGATCGTGTGCTGTCCTTCTCGTATGTTTGGATGAAATTCAATCATTTACGAGTATAACGCAAACAAATCATTCAGTTTAATTGATTAATTCATATATCAAATACATGAAAGAAATTATCCTTTTCTTATTTATATATGTATCAATGAGAGAGAGAGAAAATGCAAGGATTTAGGCAACTTTCTGAAATAATCAACAAAGGTAGTTTCTTTTTTTTTAAATTTGCCTTTTTATATTTATTGCAGTTGACATTCAGTGATAATCAAAATTAAATCGCAACAAGTTATACAAAAATATTGGCAACTTACCGTCACATCGATACATAGAATTTACAACCTTCGCGTCTCTGAAACTCAAATCGTTCCGCCGTTTACCAACTAGTCTTTGATGATGAGGATTACGACTTACAACAGTATTCCTTTCAAACATTCGACTGCTGAATGCCTACGTAAGGGGAGAGGAAAGAACAAAATTCGTAAAGATTATTCAAATAAACTGTTAATTACAGAAGAAACTGGAAAAAGGAATTTCAGTTATTAGTATCTTTCTGTATAAAAGTTGTCTCAACTACAGTTTATTATCTTTTACCTTAACTAAATTGAAGATTTAATATTGAAAAAGTAATTGCCAATTTTTTTTTTTTGTACGCAGGTTTTTTTTCACTCTGCGGAAAGAATCAGAAAGGTCTTTCCAACTTGTAAATGTACGTTTTCAGGAAGTTCTTTGTCTTCTCAGAAGATAGAGTTTACAACGTAGTTTGCTCATATAACAATATTATGCTGTTATTCGAAGATTTGCTATAAATAGTGAAAATATTTTTATTTAAGATATTCCTTTATTTAGGATATTTAAAATTGATTTGGAATATTTTATTTTTCTTTAAAAAGGAAGGAATTTTAGTCCTTTCAATGTGCTTTCTTTCTGTGTTTTTGACCATCTGCCAAGTGAATGGAAGGTCCTAGATTCTAAGACTAAAGTCGGTTTCTGAGAGACTACTAAAAACAAGCAGAGTTTACGGTGTTAGGTGGAACGATCTCTCTCTCTCAATATTTATTTCGGTTTGGGGGCAGAGCTCAAAGTTTTGGCATAACACAGATTGAAATACATACACAGATAATGACAACACCCATGAGTGGATAATGTTTGTAATCCATCAGCTAAAAATTAGAGGCAAGAGCTCAAGAATCTCCAAATGATTTTGTAATAATGAGTGATGTACAGGATATGATTCTTCATCGTTCAGGTTCTGAGCACTACAGTGAATACAAGGTACTATTAGCAGTGTTTCCGGGAAGATATCTTTTGCCTGCTTTGCCCATGAAGCAGCACAGTCCGAAAAAATGATGCTCATTGCTTGACTATTGGTGCTGTTGGTTAGGGATTTCGTCATATGGCAGCAGTGGAAATTTCGCTATCATTCTTCAAATTCTCCAAGCATAAAAACATGCGTTTTTAGTTTTTTCTCGCAAATAAAAATTCCAGAAGCAATTCAAGAAGAAAAATTTCGAAGTTATGGGTGGTTATGTGTTGACATCATTCAAAAAGCTCTACTGGTGGCATTCATCTCTTTTTCGACGCTTGGCAAAGGTAATGGATATGGGAGGACATTATACTGTGGGTAAAAAAAGTATTTGCACACCTACATTTTTGTTTGCAATTCATAAAAAGAAGCATTGAGAAATAAAAAAAATTGTATTGCCAAATCAGAATAAGTTTAATCATCCAAAACAAACAGAAAAATTACAATAATATAAATAACAATGCTTTTTTGTAACAAAATTAAAATATCTCGTATCAAAAAAAAGTATTTGCACACCTGCATGAATACAAAGAAATAAAAATATATAAGCAAATTTCAAATAACTAATATTTAGTATGCATTCCTTTAGCATCTATTACTGCTTGTAATCTTGCTGGCATTGATTTAATTAAATTTCTGTAACAGTAGGGTCAGTATTCGACCATTCTTCAATAAGGGCTTGTTTAAGGGCAGATTTTCTTGAAATCTTCATTTTTTCTTATTTTTAAATCCAAAGAATTCCACAAATTTTCCAAAGGATTTAAGTCTGATGATTGTGGGTGGAGTGGCAAGTTTTCTGGGTACACATTATAAAGCAACCACATACGTGTTATACCGGCGGTGTGCTTGGGATCGTTGTCTTGCTGAAAATAGTACGAATTACTGATACCTAATTTTATTGCACTTTGTGGCAAGTTATTCTCGCAAACATCATCAATATAGGTTCGAGCTGTCATATTCCCATCAATGAAACACGAATTACCAACTCCTTTGCTAGCCATGCACCCCCAAATCATAACAGAACCTCCTCCATGTTTAACTGTAGGTAACATATTTTTGGTATGAAAAGCAGTACAAGGTTTTCTCCAAACTAATTTCCTGCCATCCTATTTAAAGATATTGAACTTACTCTCGTCGGAGAATATGCCATTTTTCCAGAAATCGATTGGCATATTTATATATTCCTTAGCGAATTCAAGTCTCTTCAGTCTATTTCGTTCAGTTATGAGAGGTTTTTTTCCTTGGAGATCTCCCATAAATGTGTGCATCGTGTGCAGGACATTTCGAACACTTTGGGCACAGATTTGAACTCCAGATGTTGAAGCGACACATCATTGGCTAAAGTAATTGCACTAACAAATGGATTTTTTTCGATGCTTCTCTTACGATTTTTTTTCGCTTTATTCGCAGTGAAAGTTTTCCTTGGGCGTCCAGAGCGCAAGTTATTTGATGTAGATTCCTCTTTCTTTATGACATTTTATAACATACCGAAACAGTAGAGAAGCAAACATTTACTTTTTTTACCTATTTCTCGATAACTTAGGCCATTTTCACGTAGAGAAAACAATTTTTTTTTCTCGCAACGAAATCGGCAATTCAGATTTCTTAGGTGCCATTACAATTTGAAATCGACAATCAACTGATAACGTTTCGACAACACTCCTTTTATAGTCGTCTACGTATGTTATTTACTGCGGGATGACTGTCAAATAATAGCATAAAAATGCAAATTTGCTAAAGTTGAGTTGAGTGTGCAAATACTTTTTTGACATAAGCTATTTTAATATTGTTGCAAAAAATGTCTTTTATTAATATTATTGTATTTTTTGTAATTAATTTAAACGAATAAGCTTATTCTATTTTTTAAATGCCAATTTTTGTATTTCTTAATGCATTTTCTTATAAATTGTGAACAAAAATGTGCAAATACTTTTTGTACCCACTGTATTTAAACTTATTTTTATTTAATGAAGGACTATTTTATCATATTTAAACCAGTTCAGAGCATGTTCTGCCTGCTTGAAGGCTACGTTACTAACTTTGGTTCTCTCGTTTAGTATTCTGCGGCGTTCATAGCAAGTTATTTTTGCCATTAGGCTTATTTACGCCGACTCTGGTCAGAGCCAGCTTGCATGTTAAATGTGAAGCTGTTAGGATCTACTTAAATTTCATTAATTTTAAGTTTATCCGTTATATTTGATTTTAAGCCAAAAGTGTTGGCTTCTGTAAGCACAAGTTAGTGCCGTCTGTTAAACTTTGTTTGGATTACTAAATGGGTCTTTTACATCCTTCTTCTGTCTCTGTGGTATTTATAAGGCACAGCGGAAAGTCATTAGTTGTCTTTTAGAGATCTGGTTTAATTGCACGCTCTCGAAGAAGACCAGATCCTGTAACTCTTTACCATAGGGTATAGGTTCATAGCAATCCGTTTCTAAGAAACAGGGGTTAGAGTAGACTTTAACGTACCCCTTGCATTATGGCGAAGTTGTTGTTTCATTTATCGCCAAGTTGTTGTTTCATTTAGGGTAGCCTGAGTAGTTGAATGTTATGGAAACCCTATTGTGACGTAATTAGGTGCATGATTGTGGGAAATTTTGAATTATGGGATGTTTTGTAAGCGCTTTTGTGGTGTGTGTTGGTTTTATTGTTTAGACGGTAGAATGGCTAAATGTAGTTAGATTAACTTGAGGTTTCTGTACGATTTGGAACGAAAGGGGAAAAGAGCGTTAATTGACTGGTGTGTAAATGAAGGTTTACTTAGTAACCATTATAAGCGTCCTGTATGTAGGAAGGATATGCATCTAGTCGAACGTAAAAACCGTTTAGATGGATTTGAATGGGTTTGGAGGAAGAAAGGTTCAGATGTGGCGACGCCGATATATGCGACGCGGATTCGAGTTCAGATAATTTTAGGAAGTTTTTGGATGTTTTTAAGGAATTTTGTGTGCTACAGACTAAAGACGAAGGAACTTCTAAATAGGGTAAGTGGATATTTGCTTTTTGTGGTGCTTAAATGTATAACATGTTTTGCCTTTTTTATGTTATTTTATTGTTTGGTTAAACTGTAGAGTTTATTGAGATTATGTATTTTTTGTTTGCCTGTATTGTGGAATTGGGTGCTCCTTTGACTTTTTAAGTGAAAATATATCGATGTGTACATGGACAAAGTGAAGGCAGGGCGCAATGCAAATTTCTGCAATTCTTGGATTTTTGTTCAGTGAAAAGTACATGGATCGTCGTGTCGACGTGTACGTGGATAAAGGCAAGGGAGTGCGCAATGACATTTTTGTGCAATTCGGGGATTTTTTTTAAATTGAAAATAGGTGGATGTGTACAATGATACCGAGTTTGTGCAATTCTTTTTCTTGTTATTTTGATTTTGTGTAGCGGCTATATTTGGCCGAAAATGCAAGCCAAAATAATTGCCAAACAAACAAATGAATAGCAGAAACTCGGTATCCTCCATGTACCGCCAAAAATCGCCAACTCTCGCCAAGTTTCGCCTAAAATATCTTTTACCGAAACAGGAAATTAAAAAAATAAGTTGAAATTTAATAAATAAATAATTTAAATTAAATTTAATAAATAAGTAATTTAATAAATGTAAAACTTAATAAATGTAAATAGTGCTTACATAACTGCCAATACGTATATGTCTTAATTGCGGTTAATTATTTATTTAACTGAGATACTTAGACTCTCTTGAAATCTCGGAATCATTTAATTTTATGCAATTTAAAATGGGTTGCTCAATAATGTAAAAATTACTTGTAAGTCAAAATAAAGGTAAATATTTAAAGCTAATAATCACACAGATTACCGAGTCTAAGAAAACTGCTTCCAAATGCGTCTTGGAAATGACATCGTGAAAAAGATAAATCACTGAAAATATATACTTCAAAACGTTTGTTGGAATATCTTTTGGGAATTAATTAAAAGTTTTGTTGCATATATAAAGCTTATAAATTTTACTCATTTTTTTCTGTAAATAATTTTTATTATATTTATGGAACTAATGGTAGTATTAAATGCACTTACTTGTGGATGATAATGCATGATAGATGTAAGATCGTATTCAACACCATGAGGATTGTCAAGACCTCTCCAAAACTGTGGTCTGCCACCTAGGGCTATATTGCGCCAGAGAACTCTGACATGCCTGTCCCGGTCAAGCCTGGACTGTTCATGATTAAGGCCCAAAGCATGACCTACTTCGTGAACAACAACATAACGCTGAAATAAAAATATTCAGATTTCAGTAAGAAAGAGAACAAAGTGAATATTATTTAATTAAATGAAGTTCAGTGTAACAACTAACACAAATAAATAAAATTTATCGCTAATTGCAGCTTTGTGGATCTCAATTTAATTTTGTTGTTCAGCTACGATGGTAAATGCAAGAGATGTTACAGTGCTCAAAGTACAAAATGTAGTGAATTGTTGAAAGAAACAAACTAAGATTCAGAACAGGTTTTCTTTACTCATCCGATAGGAAGCTACCTTCAACGCAGATTTTAGTAGTTTGAGAATGAAGCTTAAATAGTGCGATTTCTTAACTACTTACATGGGGGCATTCATTAAAAAACTTCCCCGATATCGTGGCCTGTCTTCTCAACCAATCGAAATGATATTTCAAATATAGCTATTCGACAGTATTGCTCAAGATTGCGATGACTTAAAGTAATAGAGCTCTGGTAGTTATAATTACAGTGAAAGAATTTCAAAATTTTTGAATAATAACAATTTTTTTCTGCGCAATACGATCAGCGCATTGAAAAATCGTGAATTACGTTGGAACGATTTACATGTGATGAAAATCGTCGGCATAAAGCATTTGCAAAGAAGAGCTTTGTAAAGGACCAATAACATCAAAGGCCAGGTGATCATCGATGCACTTTGCGTAATTCACAAGCACACACAGTAGAAGCTTTCACTGGCCTGTTGAAAATCCTCACAATGTGGCACCCGCGCCTTTACACGAAGCTAAAGGGACTGTGCGTTGTGGTATCAGAAGGACATTCCTTCTTTGTCCATACTTCTTCGAAAAATTTACTTTCACAGGTATGAAAACATGCTCCATCACAAGTAATAGGTATGTAACAATGTTGCAGGATTATGCAATTCCAGATTTGCAACAGCAAGATGTCGTTAATGGCATTGTAGAGATGCCAGATAGTGCTCCTCCATTATCGCCCCATGTGTTCGGCAAGTCTTGCAACGTACTGTAGACATACAGTCATCTGCCGTTAACTAGCATCTGCAGTTCTGTGACCACTGCAATCTACTGCCTCAATTCGATGGACTTTCTGGTTCTGGTGTTATCTGAAATGCGTCACAATACACATCAAATGAACGAGATATCTCAGAAATGAATGATACCATAAAAGTGAAGTTATACAGATACTACCTTCAATTTACGTTCATCACTATTGTCAACAATCTCCCGTATGCAATAAGTTATCGTCTACGAAAGTGGACACGTTGAAAACTTGCAATTTCAGAAAAAGTTTTCTCCCCAACTCCTATCCTATGTTGTTACTTGTCCTTTACAATGCTCTTTGCAAATGTTTTATGCCGAAAACTTTCTTCATATGAGTATTGCTCTAGCGCCATTTATGGTTTTTCAGTGCGTTGATCAATTTGCCCAGGAAACATGTGGGTGCTGTCATTCGAAAATTTAGACATGTTTTCACTATAATTGCAACCGTGAGAGTTCTGTTGTTTTAAATCATCAAAATATCGAGCGCATATCTTCAAATAACAGTATTTTAGATTTCATTTCGATTGGTTGAACGCATAGGCCACTGTTGGTTAATATACCGGGGAAGATTTTTTACTCCCCACCATGTACTTACATAAAATTATTTTCCGCTTTAGTGACTTGCTTGTCAAGCACTAATGAAAGCTTCAAATCTCTTAACTTGTAGCTTTGATGTTTCTCTCATGCCATTCCCTTCATTGCTTTTGAAGGGACTGATTGTATATTAAACACTGTAAACTGCCTGAAATTTTTTGTTTGATTGGTAAGTAAATGTTGAAACAGTTCCTCTATATGCGTCTGTCTGACTAAGCAGTTAAATCGTAATTATGTCAGCTGTAATTATACGCAAGATAGAGGCTTTTTAATTTGTACTGTAATTTGTATTAAATTTCATTCCACAAGTACTGGACTTTTGTAAGCTTTATGTTCTTGTGCTGGTGAAAACTTGCCCTGATACTTGTGTGACCCAACTTACAGCTTTAATTTTTATAAAATTTGACATTAAGACTTTGAGTTCAGGGCTGCAAAAGTAAAGTATCAAAAGCAGCATTGCATATCATAATCTAATAAAAGCACTAAGCTTCATTTATCAACATTTAAGAGATTTTTTTTTTGTGACATCACTGCGTGAGCCAGTTTCCAGTTGCTCAAAAGTAGAAGTCACGCGGTGGTGAAGAATAAATGGCAAAAAATAGTTCGGCAGTAGAATGACAGCCATGTAATAGATATATGATTAATAGTTTTTTTTTTAATTTTCTTATGCCATGCATTGGTTAAAGGACCACCATTACTTATGTTAAATCTACTGATGAGCTGTGTCATCAATTATACTAGCCTTTATCCTTTTTTAAAAGCAATTTTAGCTTATTGTCACACAAGATGTAACAATACTTGACTTATAATTACGTAATTACAAATGAAATATGAATTACCTTCTCGCATCTGTTCCCGATCGAGAGATCTTGACCTATAAGGGGCAATAAACTTCTTCCCATTGAGGACCAGCATCTGAAACAGAAGAGCAGTAATCTTGCTGTAAAGTAAGTAACAAAAGAATTGTTTAACTGATAAATGTTTAAATATTAAGTTAGGATAGGCTTGACAGTGTAAACATAACTTTTGCTAATTTATCTCATTGATTGATTAATCGTCTATCCCAAAGTTTGGGATTTACACTATTTTGCTCATTTGATACAGCATGGCCATCCGTTATGAACTATCATGTCTCAGTTATGTACCTCAGACAAGTAAAATACAAATCCTGAATCTTTCAAAACAATTGTTTCAAATGATTTGGAACTCTTTCGTGGCAACTGTCGAAGACGTTTTCGCAGTATCGTCTCGTGAGTTTAATGACGTCAAAGATGAGGGGATGGATGTGTGTGGTGTCCTTAATGAAATAAAGGAGAAGGACCCAACATTTCTGTAAGAAGTTATCATGGCAGGTGACGGAAGACGAGGACGCCTGGTGTTTAACAGGGGTAAGCAGGCATATGTCCCACTCCCTTCACTATCCAGATGCAACAACTCCCTGGAGCCGCACAAGAAAGCACCTTGTGCGGCTCCAGGGAGTTGTTGTATGTGGATAGTGGAGGACCGTCATGACAGGTTGCCCTCCCCAAGTCAAATATTAACCCTTATGTAAAATGAGGACTTTTAAGCTTTCGGCCAGGAAACGTGGTTTTTTATAAGGCCATAAAATAATGCAGGCACAAAAGAACAAAGTTATGTACTTGGAAGCCACGATTGAATTTTAGTAAGCTATACCAACTTTAATTTGTGTGATAATTTTCTTAAATGTAGCATGGATATTTCCAAAGTTCTAAGTACTGAGGTCTAGTTCAGTTATTAGAACTTATAGGTAACACTATCGTCCGGTAAGCCTCCACATATTTATGCAGGTAATCTCGTGTAGTACTAGTAAGTTCAGTTCAGTTTTTTTATATAGTTTTTTTGATGTTATCATAGTGTATTCTTTTTGCTTTGAATACTGATTTAATTTATGTAGCGAATGAATGTACTCATAAGATTAAACTGCTTGAAAATACAAATAAATATTTAATAGTATTTTTCTATTAGTGATAGTATACATTATGCCACTTTCCTGTATTTCTTAGTAGTTTTCGGATTAACGGATTTCAGTTAATTGTGGATGTTATCTCCGTATTGGCCAGGTAAATCGAGAACTGCTGTTAATTTAAATCTGTTTAAATGATTGAATATCAATAGCATATAAGTCATCATATCTTCGTCAAGGAAAATGGAGATGTAACGGCTTGGTTGACGGCTGGAATTTTCACACAAAATTTTCCTGAAAGCACTGTTCTTAGCATCTACACTTCCGTAAATAATTTCTATTTGATGATTCGAGATTTGAGACTTAACATTGATCTTAACGGCGACATTCTTCAGTTAACAGTTATACTGTTGTGGTTATGCAACATTTATATAAATCTACAATTATGCTAGCTAACTTTTGCCAACATTAATTTATTGTTTCATGAATTAAGAAATTTTTAAATCTTAAAATACTTGTAAGATTTTTATTATAAACTCTACTCACCCATTCCTGTCACCTCTGAAGCGCACATACCACAGCTGTGTAGTTCTTTCCTGGAACTTGACACAGGTCATATTCTCCCAGTGTTCCATAGCTTCCCTTATCATTCGGCGCCCGAGGGGGTTTAAGGCTGAATGGAAAATAATTCATTACGATGAGATAATAACAAATCTAAATTCGCTATCACACTGTAAAATTGATTAAACTTTCATTACCACAATACAGGAAACTCAATTTCAACTTGACTGTTTCTTGAAGCATATTGTTGTAAACTTATAAGGTTATTCTCCCGCTTTCCTAGCGTGCCTTCGTGGTGTAGTGGTTCTGCACGCTGGGCCGGTATTCCAGAAGTCCGTGGTTCGATTCCCGGCGAAGGCGGTTGCTAATTTTTCATCTTGCCTACTTCCAATTAACCTAATATATCTACAAACTTTTGTGTTTATTTGTTTTAGATTTATCGTGTTTTTATACTGATGTTTTTATTTAAATTTATATATTTAGTGCATTTTGTGTAATATATTTTTTACCTATTTCATTTAATTTCCAGTTTGTGGCCACGTATTGCGTTTATATTATGTATATAATGTTGTAAATCTTATACTTCTGAATCGATCGGCATTTAAAATGTAAGCATAATTCAAAGAGAAGGAAAGCTATTATGGGCAAAAACTCTCCCACTAGGACTTAGTAACAATTTTTACCTGAGTGGCGATTTTAACTAACATGACGACATTCTGCAAGTTTTTGCAAAATGAGTTTTTGAAGCTTTAAGAACGATTTTTCTCGAAATTCCCAGGTGTGCTTATTCTACCTTTTGAAAACCCTATAAATATCGGGGTACTTAAGTACTATCGCAACCATCTTAACAGAAGTAGCCAAATTTTCAGAAAGTCCCAAACTCTGGCAACCATGCGCATAGCCATTCTTCCGGCAACCATGCTCATAGCAATCGTTTCAGTTAAGTAACGCCGCCATTTTTGTATGAGTTCTATTTTGTTGTATTCCATGAACCAACAGTTTTTATACGCAAATCGTGATATTTTTTGCCTTAGTTTTAAAACATGAGCTTCGGGAATTCGCCAGCAATGGAACTACAGTAAAATTTCGGCAGTAAATGCAGAATTTTGTTGAAAATTTTCTAAAGGGAACAACGAAGAAATGCATTTTCTAAACAGTCGCTGCTGTCGAAGAATGCACTAAGTCGGTCTGATGTTTCTCTCTGATGTTTTTTTAAGTGAAAAACAACAGATCGCTGTGTACTTCGGGAGAAGAATAACGAAAAAAAAAATACAGAAAGATTCGAAGAAGAATGTAAGTATTTTACTTTTTTTATATATGACATAAAAATAATTTAATAATTCAAATCTGTATTTTAAACTGCTAAAGTATGTTTTCTTTTTCTGTGTTGATATTGTTTACCAGACTTACTAGAAATATCAATACTTTGGTAATCTTTCTATACAAGGAGGCGCGAAAACCGCCAATTTGCACATATTAAGTAGCTTATACATTTTCATCCATAAAAAGTCGCCCTATTGCGCCAAGATGTTTGCGATAGTAGCTAAATACCAGTATCGACTGTGTTGGAATCGTGATTCAGTTAGTGCAGCTATTCGTTTTAGAATCGTGTCACCGTAGCTCCCTACTCGATGATTATTGTTTTACAGTGATTATTGCTTTACGATGATTATTGCTTTGTGAGTGATTTCAGTGATCTGCGATAGTCTTTGAGTATTAAAGAGACATTGCCGTATATCTGTTCTATCTTTTAGACTGCTTATCGTTATTTATTTTGCTGTACGAGATGGTATGCCATTCAATGAAGAGCCATTTTTTGATGTCCATCTGGCTATATTAAAGAGATCTCTATGAAACTACCGCATACAATAATATACTCTTTTGTAAAAAAAATTGAAGCACCAAGAAGGACTTTTGCGATCGTGATGAAATTTGGTATGCAAAAAAACATCTTGATTGAATATGCAAATGAGCAGGAATTGCGATCGTAGCGAGCATTTCTAGTGCGCAATTCGCAAAGTATAAAACCATTAAAAGAAGCGGGGAATTTATCTTTTTTTGTTGCTGCCATTGTAATCCGTAAAGAAGCAACTAAAGATGCCATTACGATGATATCGAAGACCTTACAGACAACTAAACGACTTCAAACATGGTTGCATTGTAGGTTGCGTGAAGCTGAGTGGTCATACCGAGCAATAGGCCGCCACCTGCAGCGTACAAACACTGCTGTGCAAAGTTGTTGGCAGCAATGGTTGTTAGAAGGAAATTGCCGACGAAATGAAGGCTCTGGAAGACCAAGGAGCACAGATGCGAGGCAAGATAGGGTGATTGTTCACCAGGCCATGCTATTTCTTATGATGGCAGGTCATCTTTACTCATCCTCCGTACATCTTTAACAACTCAACGATATGTTGATACCATCCTGCGACCGGTTGCACTATCTTTCATGGCACGTCATCCTGGTGCCATTTTCCAACAAGATAATGCCAGACCACATACCGTTCGCATATCTCTGCACTGTATTCGTGCGGTTGATCCTCTTCCTTGGCCAGCAAGGTTACCAACCTTTCACCAATCGAGCATGTTTGGGACATGGTAGGCCGCCAGATTCGGGCACCACAAAATATCGCAGATCTGGAGCGACAACTGATGAATGCCTGGTAGAATGTGTTGCAGGATGACATTAAGAACCTCTACCACACCTTGCTTCGGCGAATTTAAGCATGCATTGCCGCCAGCACCGGTTCGACCAACTACACTTAATGGGTGATTGTGATCCGTGAACAGGTACTCTGACCTTGATTTTTTAATTATTTTATTATCTGTGTAATTATTTTATTATCTGTGTTTGAATTGAATATGTGTATGAGTTATACACATATTCAATTTCATCAAAAACAACCACTTCCTTCATGCTGCTTCGATTTTTTTGCAAAAGAGTGTATTAAGAAAGCTATAAAGAAATGTAGTAAAAAAGCTGCTTAACCGAAACTTTCTTAACTGAAATAACATTTAACCGAAACAGTTATGAAAACTAATAATGAATCATAGGCACGAAACCCGTCCGGTTAAATGATATTTTTCTTATATTTTCTCTAATCAAAGTAAAGACTTATTTTACATTATACGTAATGTAAAGAAGAGCTATAAATGTATTTATATGTGAGAATAGTAGGCTGTGAAATCATTTTCCTGAAAATATCCTTTTTGAGTACCTATGTTCATTGCTGGATTATTTCGATTAGAATTTATACCGTAGAAAACAAAGATCTCCGCAAAAAACAAACTGAGAAAATTGAAGCTTTAATGATATCATTAAATTATAACAAAAATCTTATCCCTCTGTGATAATTGCCGTTTTATTGCTATCGAATATGATGTTAAAAAAGTTTTCAGGAATCTTTTTTGAATTATGCTGTTGCAGATTCATATTGTTCTCCATTATGACATCTAAATAAAATTTTAATTTAAAGTAATGAAAATTTCGCAGTTTATTTTAATTTATTTAAATGCATTAAAATAATAATGTTAAATTAAGATTTGAATTACATTATGAATGCATTATAATGTATTCAAAAATGCAGTTATGATAAATGATAAAAAATAATGTAAGCGGGAATGCGCCATCTGTATCTTTTATGAAAACAAGCCCATTCATCGGTTATCCAGATAAATATATTTATCGGAAATTGCTGCTAGATTTCTTCACTTACTCTTTTCAATTACTGTAGATAAATCGTATTTTGCTGAAAATAACTTTGTAGATAAATCGTATTTTGCTGAAAATAACTTTGTAGATAAATCGTATTTGCTGAAAAGTAACTTTGTAGATAAATCGTATTTTGCTGAAAGTAACTTTGTAGATAAAACGTATTTTGCTGAAAATAACTTTGTAGATAAGTCGTATTTTGCTGAAAATAATTTATCTACATAGATAAAAGACTATGTGTATTTTATTTTACAAAATGAAAAAAGAAATGGAAATGCAAAAAACATTTTTACATTTCGAGTTCAAATTTCGAGTTCAAAATTTCGAATTCAGATCGATTATTATCCAAGGTAAGCAAGTAAATTACGAAACTGCTACACTTTTGTGTATGTATTTAATTAAGAAAGAAATCAGAGCACCATAATTTAAAAAAAAAACTGCGCATACATTTTATATGCAAAATGATATAAGAAAAAGGCAAAAATAGCTTTAGAATATAAAAACATCCTTAAATATGGAATTACTTATACTAAAATTCATAGAATAATCATCTTCGAAGAATTATTCTTATCTTGTCGAGGGCTATAGCTGTTTGGTATAGGAAAAGAGTTCTTGCTTCGTTTGGTTTTGGTTTGGTTTATTTAATTATGGCACAGCACACTAGGGCTATCTGCCTAAGGGGAGGGATGCCTCCGTGGAGGACTTTCTAAGGAAAACTGGCTCGTATACACGTTACACATGGGGAAAACCACGAAAACGCCCATGCAGCCAGCCCGTTCGCAGGATTCGAATCTCAGAACCGAACTACCAGTGTTCAGCGACTTTACCGCTCGGTCGCTGGTGGGCGCCAGTTCTTGCTTGTCTGCGAAAATCAGACATTACTCGCAGGATTCAAATTCAGTCAGACCTTTCTAAGAAAATCTTCAATTTGTATAAATTTAAGACAAGTCCTGTAAGAGCGAAAGTTGTTATCCATTTACGAAAATTCAGGACCAGTAACTCTCCCCAGGGGCAAGGGACTCCCCAGGGTCTCCCTGACACAAGGACATACGATCTTCTGTAGAGTGTCGGATTTATATGACTCTCATGGATATGAGGAGGAACATGAGCCATTTAATATTATACCACTACACACTATTAATATATCGCCTACAAAGAAAACTCATTCTTTCATATTTGATGAATGATATCATATTTCTTGTTCTCTCTTTAAAAAGTAAAAGTGACTACACCTATGCAAACATCAAATTCTCTAGTGAGGAGACGTCAAGAATACAAAAAACTACTAATCTCTTGATGTACAGGCTAGCACTGTCTTAGTCTTCGGTATGAGATTTGCCTTTCTACGTTTTTCTCAGTAGCTGTGGAGAGTTATGGAAGTTTTCGTCGTATTCTAACTCCTTAGTTAAATTAAGCAAGAACATCGATTATTTCTGTAGAGCTTAGGGAACTTTGAAAAGGTCTTCTGGATATATAAAAAGTATTACTGAGAAGTTGCTTCGTCCATACTTTAGTGCGCATGTGTTGAAGTCTCGCGTGAAATACATTAACATTTATTTTGTCACTTGTTTTATAAACTAGTAAACAATATATTTTGTAATTTACTTCTGGACATGTTCAGTTAACTAAATTTATGTAGCCTTGGTGGGAAGAATTTCATTGTCTTTTCCAGCTTCCCAAGAATAGCGAAGCATTGGAACGGTTTTCAAATCCCCCCCCCCCCAGCAAAATGTGTGAACAGTCTACTACCTTATGTAGTAATTAGATTATCAAGATTAGAGAAATATACGCTGTGTTAATTTCATAGAAGATAGGTTACTAAACCTCAAAACAGGCCAACCTTAATCTTAGCTGTGTGGAGAAATTAGGTTATTTTAGCAGAAATAATGAAAAATGGGCAATGCCCTCACCGGTACTAGAAATCTGGACCTCTCGAATACGCGCCGAGTGTGTTAACCGTTACACCACGAAAGCATGCTTGAAAGAGAAAGAAAATACTTTATATACTCCCACTTTTAAATGGCGACTGAAGATTACGGGACCCAATCGCCAAATCCTGGTGGTGGAGAATCATCATCCACCGCCTTTTTTACTTCGGTCGCCACTGTAGAGTCATTAGGTTATTTTGAAGCAGGGAGATGTGAAAAATGTGCAATGCCCTCGATCCTGGACCTCTCGAATACGCGCCGAGTGTGATAACCGTTACAGCACGAAGGCATGTAAAATGGAGGGAGAAAATGCCTCATACATGAAATGAAAAAATGAACAGTTTGCAAATTTTTTTATCCAAGAGGTTAAAAGATATGCCGATGGCAAGGTTTCACGAAAAAAATTCTTTTTCAAACATCTTAGTATGATAAAGACTTCTTATAAAACATTCCTTATTTTATAAACCTTGAAATCACAGGGATGGATTCTGACCTGATGCCAAAGAGCGGTACACTTCCTAGACGCCCATGTGTAAGAATAACTGCGATTTTAATTCTATCCTTCTTGCAAATATCAGGGCTAAAAGCGAATTAGAGATTAGTTAATAATAATTTTATTATGTACTTACAATAATGTAGCGTGTAATAGACGGTAGCACGTGACCAGAGTGCGAGAAGATTGATGGTCCCCTTCCGGTGGGAAAGTTCTTTGTGGTCATCTGCATATTTTGGAACCACTATGTCTCCTTCCACGATTCTCTCCCCTGTCTCTGTAAAGCTTGGATTTCCTCCGAAAAGAAGTAACTGAAAAACGTTAATTACGTAACTTTAGTTAATATTTAAAACTTTTCTTCTTTTACAAAGACTTCAATATAGCAATATTGCATGCATAATTTTACCAACATACCTGTAACATCCTAATCCCTATGAGATATTTTGAAAAAAATAAATAATGTCCGCATATTTTCCGGATGCGAAATACAAAAATATTAAAATACAAGTTTATTAAACAAGGTTCATTTAAACGGAAAAGTCCACACATTTTTCTGCGAAAAACAAACAGATATAACTGTGATATCTGGCAACCATCTGACCTTTTAATTTGAAAAGCCTTAGCCTTTCAAAGATGCGATTCAAAAGATTTACACAAAATGAATGACTTTGTAGAGACATTAAGTATTTTTTTGGAAGCTGGAAAGATGAAAAATTTGCAACGTCTTCGCCGGGAATCGAACCACAGACCTCTGGAATGCGCACCCAGCGTGCAGACCACCACACCACGAAGGCATGCTAAGAAAGCGGCAGAAATATCTTATAACTTTAGATAATCATATCCTGATGCCCAGAGGGATGATGTAGCATTCAAATTTGGAAAAAAGAGTTAATAAAAATCACGGAGGAACGGAAATTAATTTCACCAACAATAATAAAAAGATATTGAAGAGGAGAAACAAAAATGATACAGACGATTTTGATTAAGATTAATCTGACAGGCAGCTAAAAATGGTGAGATGTAAGAGTACAATGACAGCAACAAGCCAAGAAAATTAATAATTTTTGATATTTTGATTTTATAGAACAGAACAACTAATAATTCCAGGAGTTAATCGTGAATTCTTTCAGCACTTTTAAAAATTGTTTTACAGTATTAACATTTTACTGAAAACAAATTTTTGTTGTTGTTTTTGGTGTTACTGATGTTAACTGGTTAGCCATTGGGCTAGGCTAGACCAGATCCATGAGTCCAAGAATTGTCAGTAAATCCAAAACGAAATAAGTCCCAAGCAGGTGAGAAGATGTCCAGGAGTGAAATGATCAGCATTACATTTCCTACAGATGGGGTTTAATTCCCCGTTCAAATTTAAGGCATTTCAGATGTCCACTTAAATGGCATTGTCAAAGTTAAACTGCTGGACCCGATAACCCCCAAAAGCAATAGCAACCCCAGGCTGCCTGCCAAAGTACCAATCACCAGTCGGAGGATAATGTCAGGAAGAGGCAACGTCGAAAAAATTTTGCATATTATTACTGAGAACAATTCCGAATTATGGAACCTAGAACATGCATGTTCTATTTTAAAACATTTATCTTGAGTTATAAAGTCATCACTTCTATAAAATCGTCTTCTGTTAATCAATAAAACCTGTAAAAATGGTATGGGAATAACACTGACGTAAAAAACCTAACGGTTTTTCTCACTTTAATTTTCAATTAGTAAAAAATCGCAAAAAAAAAAAAAAAAAAAAAAAAAAAAAAAAGTGAAAAAAATGAATGAAATTAGAGTAATGTTTATTTAATCTTCCAAAGTCGAGTTTCATTTTGATTCAGTGCTGTGAGATGGAATATCGAGCTTTAATTTAGTCATTCACATAAATTTTGAATTGAAAATTTTTAATTTATCCTGTTAATTTCTTGGCGGCTATTGATTTGATTGGAAAGTTAAATTCTTTCTTACCTTGTCAATTGATAGCTCTCTGAGATCTTCTTTGGCTTTCGTATTCTGAAACTAAACAAAAAAACCTTTTAAGGCTCATTTCATTAGATATATCTATTAATGACTTACATATTTTATCAAAGTTTAAATTATGTGCACATTTATGATGTAAAAGGCTTAATGCAAAACATAACTTAAAAAAATGCAGTTTTAGTCAAAAGAGGCTTTGTCCCTGAAGGACTATAGTTTCGTTTTGCGATTTTGCGTTGAATCACTATAAATATCCGTTTCACTTTTCAAACTGTTGCCACCAGTGTTAGAGTCTTACATTATATTTGAAGAAATTAAATAATGAAAAATATGCATAAATGTATATATATTTCTCGCATTGTGATAAAACAACGGTACCTAGAGCCATCGAATTTTGAATGACGTAATTCTCCTACGAATATGGGCATGTGGAAGACCAAATTTGAAATTTGGAATTTGTTTTATGATCGATTTCATATTTGTAAAACTTTAGCGAATTTTTCATTAACAAACTCAAGGATTTCAAAGCGAGCAGTGGCAACACTCTACGGGGAAAAAAACCTTTTTGTCTCCAGCTTGAGGAACTATGTATCGGAAATTCTAAAGATAGGTTCATTTTAAGAATTATTTTGCGATATTGCTAAGGAACTGAATTTTATGGTTTAAGTGCAAAGAACATGGTATTTAATAAATAAAGGTAACACACAAAACGTTAAAAAAAACCGATCCTTTGGAAGTAGTTTAATATCTGAAACCTTTCAGTTTTTTTAATAGATATTATTTTTATTATAATAATTTAAACAGAATATAATATGCAATTTAAAACTTGATTGATTTATTGGAGTGAAATATAGTTATCTTATCTACGATCTAACTGGAAAGGAAATAAATTTTAGAGAGCGTGTATTGGAAAGATGATATCATTGGTCGATTATTTTAGAATGTAATAAATCAAATTGAATTTATGTTACATTGCCTTGTCAAGATGCGTAATTTTTGCACTGAGAAATATCCAGATTTCTTAAATAATGCCCTGGAAAGCTTAAAAATATTGGTTTTTAAAATATTTTACGTTAAAAGGAAAACTCTAGGCCCAAAAGAAAAATTTGGTAAATATCCTGAAGCTCAAAACTTCATTAATAGAAAATAAAAACAATGCTCAATGTACTGTACGACTACAAAATAATTGCGCATGGAGAATTTGTGCGCAGTGAGCAAAGTGTGCATTTCTGTGAAACACGGAATAAAACAGTTGTAACATCCTTCTTCGCAGAGCTCGTCATTCGAGAGTTTTTGTCCAAAAAGCATGTACAATTTTTATCACATTTTGTTTATTCGTCGTAACCATATCACAGTTTACTGTTCCTCAAAATTAAAGCCACTTCTTAAAAAAAATATGCGGTTTTTATAACTTATATGCAATGCAGAAAATTGCGAAGAACGTTTTGAAAGTAGAATTGTTTTTAATTGAATATCAGCAATCATTCCATAAAATTTGAAGTCATACGCAGTAACACATAAGTTTCAGAGATAATCGCTCCAAATAAATTATTTAGATTTAAGTCATTATTTTTATTTAGCATCAGTCTCGTTTTAAAACTGTAAATGAAATTTAGAATTTTTTGAAGTCAGAAAACCAAAGAAATACCGCAGTGTCATCGCCGCGACTTGAACTCTGGACCTTCCAATTGCTAGCCGGACGTACGTAATTTTCTATTAACCACGAAGGCATGTGGTAAGAAAGTGATAAATGATAAGTGACGGTGGACGTGGGCACTGTCCCTATGTGGTAAGAAAGGAGGTCACTTACAAAATTCCGCATTGAGGACATATTTTTGATCATTTCCCATAGTAACTCCTTATTAGCCCAAAGGAGCAATTTGCCCAGAAAGGATACTAATTTCGTTTTGGTATTTTGCGTTGATTTATTATAAAAGGCGTTTCATTTTTCAAATTTTTGCCACCAAATATTATCACCCTACATTATATTTAAAGAAATTAAATAATGAAAAATCTGCATGAATGTATGCTCTCGCCCTCTGAAAAACCAACGGCACCTAGAGACATCAAATTTTGAATAACGTAGTCCTCCACTTGGATATGGGCATCTGGAAGTCCAAATTTGGAATTTTTTAATTATCTAGTTTATATTTTGTAAAACTTTAAAGAATTTTTAACTAATAAATTCAACGATTGCAAAGCGAGCAATGGCAACACTGTACGGGGGGAATTCATTTCCAGCGCGCGAGACTGTGTATCGGAAATTCTAAAGATATGCTTCTTTTAAAAAATTATTTTGCGATATTGGTGTTGAATTGAATTTTATGGTTAAAGTGTAAAGAATTTGATATTTAATAAATAAACATAATACAAAAAACGCTAAAAAATCGCCGCTCTTTGGGCGTAATGCAAAATCTGAAAGCTTTCAGATTTTTTTTTTTTAAATTAGCATCAGTCTTGTTTTTCATGTTTCGCATGATATAGATTATAAGTAAGCATTTTAAATAATTTTCTACGGGAATTCTCTGTTTTTATTTAGTATCGGTCTCATTTTTAAATTGCCTGATCATGTGAGGAGATATTTTAGACTTTTTGAATTACTATGCTTGGTGAACTTCAGTTATATACTGAAACTGAAATTTTTTAGTTTTTCCTGTTTCCTTTCAAATTCTTACAAAATACACTCTGGGTCTTTTTTAAGAAGGGACAGATTCTTAGTTTAAAAAAATGTTACTCCATTCTATATTTTATTCATTAAATGGCGCCGCAATTGTTTTGCAAATTTCTCAATTAATTATTTATTTGTTACATGTTTCTCTAAATGCAAATAATTTTTCTAATCATAATAACCGCATTAATGAAATGTAATGTAGCAGATGAACACAATTTAATTCAAAGTTCAGCTTTAATTAATTATAGTATTCAAAGGGAATTATTTCTCTTCGATTCATTACTCTTACATAATTCCTGATCCTGGTAGACTTTTACATTCGAATCACGAAACAAACATAGTAATTTAATGGAAAAAAGAGTATACTGTTTCAGGAAACTGAAATTTTTACCTCTGCTTCTCTGTCCTCTGTATCTAAAATGACATAATCATCTTCCCTGTCTTCCTGGGAGGAACTGTAATGTTGGTGTCCTGCATCACTGCAGCTGTTACTTTGCCTTGGTGGTAAATAAACTTCGGGAGGCAGATCAAGTCTTATCTATGATTGCATAACAGAATAATGCAGATTAAATTCATATATGGAAATCAGACATTTAATCTGTAAGCGAATTGCTAAAATTTTGTGATATAATTACATTAATGTATCTGAGTTATAACGCATAATTGCTCCGAGTAAAAGAACAGACTAAATTCATTTAAATATAGACACCAGTAATTTATTTTACAGTGTTAGCTTAAATGATTCATTCGTTTTGAAAAGGCTATATTTTCAACAGTATTTTACGTACACACATGAAAGATTAATGAAAAGAACCACAAACTCACCAAGTTTATATACCCTCTACAAATATTCAGTATGTACTCCTTTGATGACACGACACACGTCTAGACGATAATCAGGCTCACTCCATACATTTTGTAGCATTGTTGTCCAGATGTCCGTCCTGTCAATTGGCAATATTCGGAATACCACAAAAATCTGTGTGGAAGATTTTTGCGTCAACGGTTCCATTTCAAACCATGTTTGTTGTCCAGATGCCCGTCCTGCCAATTGACGATATTCGGAATACCACAAAATTCTGTGTGGAAGATTTTTTCATCAACGGTTGCATTTCAAATCGTACCTTGGGTGTTGTCCAGATGCCCGTCCTGTCAATTGACGATATTCGGAATACCACAAAAATCTGTGTGGAAGATTTTTGCGTCAACGGTTGCATTTTAAAACCGTACCATGTGTAGCTCCTGCAGCAATTAAAGCCGGAGGATTACGTCCGTCGAATAGATTTTTGCTTCAACATTGGAGGGCGAAGATTTGACCAATATGATATTCAGCGATGAAGCAACATTCCACGTATCCGGGAAACTTGGTGAAATACTGAAAAAAAAATTGTGAGTTTGTGGTTCTTTTCAAATGTTTTTAATGTGCGTACCCGTAATACTTTTGAAAATATAGCCCTTTCAAAATGAATGAATCATTTATGCTAACCCTACATGCCTAACACATGTGCTGTCATACAGAAAAATGTAAAAGCCTTCTTTATTTGCGCTGCAATAACATATAAGCCTCTATTATTTTGTTCTTAACGTCATAGAGATGTATAGTTTTGCAGTTAAGCACTTCAAATGATGAATCGTGCAAAAATATTACAATGAAAAAAATCTCTGCATGAAACGATATTAGAAAAGTATGTGTATTGCTTCTAAATCTGTCAAAGCATTTTTGCGACGAACAATACATTATTAGAATTTGAAAGATAAATTTAAAATATCATTTTGCATAGTATACGATGTTAAATGATACGATGTGCTCTGAATAATATACGATGTTGGTTTAGTTAGACTTTTAACTGAAATTTTGTGAATATTTATAAAATTTAGCAAGACATATGTATATATTGCAAATAATATATACATTTTTGTGTCATTAAAAATGTAGAAAGAAAGATACAATTTAAGTAGTGTACTATTTTTTTAAATCGTCCATTTTGTTATTCTGACTGGCAATTTTTCGCTGTAATTTGAAATGTAAATTAAAGTTTTGCCTTAGTTTGAGAACATATTTCCAAATTGAAATTTCATCAGACAACATCAATGAATAATGCTGTTCTAGAATAATGTGACGTGAACGTAATAACGTTCGATGTTATGCAAATTTAGTGACTGAGTTGAGAAGCGGCACAAATACAAATTAGTTAGATTTTTTTGAGCTATCGCTTAGAGCTTCAGCTGGTAGCTACTGTAGCTCCAACGGCGTAGATGTGCTTTTGAGGCGTGCCTTCATGAAGCAAGGTAGAATTCAAGTTTTCTCCGTGTTTGTTGAGTTACTATCCTTCAGCCTACATGACGTTTGTAAGAAGCAAATAAAAGAATTTTAGTCAAGATTAATCTTTCGAGATTTAAGTTCTACTGAAGGTGTGCTACAGCAAGTCTACAGAACACAGTCCACTAAATATCAACGATCGAACAAGCACAATGTGTTGCGAAAGGTGGGAAGCTATTGATATTTCTAATAAACCAAAAGTAAATTAACCAAAAGTTCTAAAGGTAGATGGTTTTTAAAAGGTTAACAGGCTTAGTTCCTTCCAAAATTCTAAAAGTTTTGCCTCCCCTAAATTCTGCAAGCCGGTGCTGCACACGCTCTGGCACCGGTCCTGATTTCATTTACATATAACCGGAAACACTTAGTTTACGAGATACAGGACATTGGATATTAATACGATCATGATGTGGAAGTTAGATGGTTTAACTATACAGAAAAAGAGACGAGATAACAAGAATGTTTATAACGTTTCGAGTTTCAACGAGTATGACAGTTAAGGTACTGAAACGGAAAGAACGTAACGGCGTGCCGCTTTCAGTAGAGCGACGGGTATAAAATTATGGATTATTGAGAATGCTATACAGGATAAATTGTTTTAAACTGCAGATACCGGAGGTCATAGTGAGGAGTCGGTAGATAGTTATAATACATTTTCTATTGAGACTTGGAATATATTAATATAAGTTTCATTTACAAAGGAGCCATTTTCATTTAAAAGGAAGAATATTATCAGAGAACATAATCCTGACAGATATTCCGACAAAGCCGCATTCCGTTGAAGGCAGAGGTTTGTGTTCTATTCGTTGCTATACCGAACGAATTTAAGCAGTGGATTGAAAATGCTGTCGTTTATATCCTCAACTTCCTGGACATTTTGAGCACCAATTTATGGTAAAGTACTTTTTTTTTTATACCAGTATTGCTCGCGGCTTATACTGTAATGTCCTTACAGATATGCGTTATGTCATTCATTTCACTATGTTCTGTTCCTCATTAAAAGAATTTTATGTTACGGACCTCCAGTCGGACCAGACGTCCTTTGCTCGTACTCGTAAATGGCATATTTCCTGTATGATTGTAAGATACTTTTGGTTTATTTGTATTATACATTATTTGTGTTCAGTTAATTATATGACATCTATGGGTTCTTTCAATTACGAATTGAATTCTTTCAGTTCCGAAACACATTTTATTTAGGAGAGAACTGAATGAAATTAAACTTATTAAATGAAAATTGAATAGAAAATGTTTAGCTAAATAGTAAGCATAGATTTTTTCTCCTTTGTAAGACCTTTTGGTCATCTTATGATCTCTATTTGGAAAAAGATATGCTAGTGCGAAAGGTTCGTTTCTCTTTGATAATGATTTATGTAGTAGCTAGCAATTGGTGTATGTCGTAGCCTTGTTTTACTTCTTGGAGACTTGGCGAAAAGCAGAGGAAGAGATTTAATGCTTTTACGTGTTTCTTGATGAATCAACACATGTTTTAGGAGTTGTAATGAACAGAAACGGGTTACATGGTGTATGTTTTTTTTTGAGGGAGGTACATTTAATTTCTACTGATTTTTTAATTAAAGTACTAATGTAGGAGTTTACAATCTCAACAAATTATTGCATTTTCAACATTTCGGAGGCTTGGTTTAGTTTATTTGGTTATGGCAAAACACTCGACGGCTGTCTTCCTAAGGAAAGGGATGCTTTCCTCAAGGACTTTCTAAGAAAAACTGGCTCATATAAACGTTACATATGGGGAAAACCACGAAAACGCCTATGCAGCCAGCCCGTTCTCAGGATTTAAACCTCGAACCGTACTACCAAGTGTTCAGAGACTTTACCGCTCGACCGCTGGTGGGCCCAAATTTTTAAAGGAAATCGTTGTACTCCTTAATTTTAAGTTGCACTTTTTATTCTTTAAGTATAATTTTAAATTTTCTTTTTTCATGATTTCAGGTTTATGAAGACCTGAAATACATTGTTGCTACTCACATTAGAGATTTTGTAAACTTCCGCTTCTTTCTTTCAGACGTAAATAGTCGATGCCATTTCCAAGTATACTATTCAGCATTACTGCAGGTTAAGCATTATTATTAATGCATGTAGAAGTAAGATTGCTGAATTTAAAATTTTATCTGAAATTATCTAAATTACCTATTTTACAAGTTAACAGAAACAATTTAGAGCTACGAGTAGAAAAAAATGTTTTACCAACAGATTACTTCTATTTCTCTACTTTTGTACTTAAAATTGTGCATCAGCATGAAAAGCTTAAAAAATTATCTTATAATTATTTTTGTAAACCATGTAACTATCCTTTTTGTATACCTTATAAATAATTTTACAAACTATGCTCACTGAAATTAGATAATATCCTTGTTCTCCAAAGGAATGAACATTCTAATTAAAATATTTTTACTAGACTTACCGGTGGTTCTTCTTTTACGTCTTCCAGTGCGTCTTCATTCATGCTATTCAGTACAGGTGTAGCAGACGTGATTAGAATAGTCTAGAAAATTCAAATTTGATTAATTTTATAATATATATATATATATATATATAACACTAAATATTACTATATAGACTCTACCAATTAGACCGAAATTAAGACCTTAAAAAGGTCAGATAAGAAATATGCACAAGATTACTAGAAGTTCTTATTTTTTTTTAAAGTAATCACAGTGGAGTTAAGAATAGAAACTAACGGTGATGACTTATATACGTACTAGAAAGCCCGGCGGTCACACGAAATGACCGCTGTTCTAGATATTATAAATTGTAATTAAAATGATTTGTGGAAAGGTGTCTGCTAATTTAAACTGAATTACCCAGGGTAGGCGGCGAGGACGCCCCTTTGCTTACTGCCCCACGGGGTTTCCCCTTCTACTTGCTTAATTGTTTGAAGTAGAGGGCAATGAAGGAAACCACTGACGGTACATTTCTTAAGAACCACTGCTAACTCAACAAATAAAGGTGATTTAAATAATAAAATGTTAATTCACATGTCAAAGATCTCTTTGTACACAACATTTGTGTAGATCTTTCCATCATTTCTAAGCTCGCCTTGCAGAGGACCATAAAGTGTTTTAAATTTTACGTTAGTTTACGTTTAATTTAGAGTTCTTTCACGAACTCTTGAACAGGCAACATAAAGTTGACCGTTTCCAAATGTAGGCTCAGGTAAAAAAATGGCAACACGCTTAAGCGTTTAATCCTGAGACTTATTGATGGTCATAGCAAAGGCAAGTTTTACAGGAAATTGTCTATGTCTCAATTGAAACGGCAACACTGTGCCGTGGCAACTTCATCCCATTGGCTAGTACAGTCACGCAAGCAACCAATAAACTATCGGCGACAAACAGACACTTAAGCCGCATGGTAACAACATGGGGTGAAGTGACATCATCTCCTCCGAAACGGCTGGCTCCCTGGCTTAGCGAAGCACACCGTTGGATTCCGCAGGTCCGTGGCACGCCATTTTGACCATTGGCGTCTTCTTGGGGACTTTAATTAGCCGAGATAATTAATTCAAAACTAATTTTCCCTTACGTTTTCCCAATTTTCCCCTACGTTTTCCCAACTTTCTTTCTAACTTTCTTGGGTTTCCACTTCTATTAGAGGGGTTTGGCTACGTGCTAAATTCTTTTTTGTCGAATATCTAGGGAACGGCGTCGAGTTGAAATTCGGAGACGCGTATCCTCGGATTTCAGAAAAATTCTCCGAACCCATCGATACCGTTCTCATCTTCGTACGACTTTAATCGGCCGAGATATTAATTAAAAACTGCGGAAACGTTAATTTCCGCGCTCATGTTTCCGAGTGGCAACAATAAACTATCGGCGACACACACTTTAGCCGCTTATATACTATATAAAGATATTTCAGCTTACTTTCTTTAAACTTTTTTAAAGTGCATGGAATGAAAGAATTGTAGTGAGACACGAATTCTTTTTCCTTTGCGATGTGTAGTTAAAAATTTTGTGTCTATAAATAAGTCATTGATTTGCGAAACCGAAAAACAAAAATGTCCTTTTATAGGACACCACTCGATAGTTTCTGATGAAGAGGACTACCGAAGCGAAGCGTTCGTCCAAAACCAACAGACCTATCCATTGAAGAGAAGAGGATTTCATCCTTATGGCCAAAGAAAAGAAAAGTAAAGCGAAAAAAGGCGAAAAAACTATGTCAGATACGGAAAGCGAAACAACCAAGTAGAAGAAAGATGTTAAACCTCGTAAGGAAAAAAAGAGACATTCAAACACCGAATGAAGAAGAACTACTGATGAACAGACACCAGAAGATTTATCAATGGGAAATGATGAGGACATCCCAAAATTCAAGTCATGTTCTGAAGAAGAAATTCGGGACCAGATTGCGGAATTTGGATTTGACGTAATTTGCAATTACTTTCATAAAAGAACTAAGGGTGAGATGCAGGGGCGTAGCTAGAGGGGAGCAAAGGGGGCATCTGTCTCCGGGCGCAGAATCCAAGGGGCGCCAAACTGATGCTACGACATGTTAGAATTAAATGTTTTCCATCCTTGGCAAGCAGTAGGGGGCGCGAAATCTTCAGTTGTCCCTGGGCGCTGAAAACCCTAGCTACGACTCTGGTGAGATGGATGTAGAGACATTCACGAAAAAATTTTATCCAGGGCAGATAACTGAAAGAGGAACAGACAGCAGGGAACAAGAATGGATTTCTCCTAAGAAAACCGCGAAAGTATCAGAAAACGAAGCTCCAATGGAAGTTAAGACGGAAAATCGATTTGAGCAGCTAATCGATTTGAGGTATGGAAGAAGAAGGAGGAGCCGAAAAAGAGGAAACTCCACCCCCAATAGTTTTCCAGCAAAGCGAAGTGGATTGGCCTAAAATTCATGAAATCCTCATCAATACCTGCAGTGAAGAATTCGAAGCCGATATGAAAATGAAACTACTATATGTTAATTTAAAGTCAGTAGACGATTACAGAAAAGCAACTCTGGTTTTTCAGAAAAGAAATATACCATTTCATGCTTTCCAGTTATTCAGCGAAAAACCTATTAAGGTTGTTCTTAAGGGCCTCCCATCCACGATGAAGGCAGATCTGGAGAGAAGGAAATTCCCGATAAGTAAAGTCAAGCAGTTTTCCAGACGAAGAGGAGACGCTATCGAGAAACTTCCGATTTTCCTGTTGGAGCTGAAGAAAACGGAGGAAGGACGTGCAATTCATGGACTCAACAATATGTTAAGTGTTAATGTCAAGATCGAGAAGTTTGCCCCGAAAAAACGCGTAATTCGATGCTATAGATGTCAAGAATATATGGACATTCGCAACATCTTTGCTCAAATCCTGAGCGATGCTGCAAGTGTGGACAGCACCATAGAAGTAAAGAATGCCCTCTAAAGCCAGAAGAAAAACCTAAGTGCTCACTCCCGCATGTAAGTTCATACAGGGGTTGCCCCGTGTACAAGAAGCGATATGAAGCAAAGAAGCAGCAGGCGAAGCCAGCAGCTAAGATCCCTACGCCGGCAGATTTTCCGAAATTCATCGAAACAGAGGAAGACAGCAGTAAAACCCAGATGAAACCTCTCTACAGTGATAGAGTAAAGAAAAAATTGAAAAACCCACACACAGAGTACAAGGATATCATAAACTGGATCCAAGATCCTAAAATCAAAAAATTTCTGAACAGTATGGCTGAGCACGTTGAGAAGATCCGCGCTGCAAAAACCACGGCTGAGAAGTTTACTGCCGAGTTCAAAGCAGCAATGACACTGATGAGATTTGCTGAAAGTGAAGAGTAATCACCAGCTTAGAAGCATTTGAGGGAATTTCACTATGTTTACGATTTCTTTTCAGTTTTTCAACACACAGGTTCCCCTGTTTACAGCAGCAGAGCTCGGAGTCAGTACTTGGGTGGATGACCACCCACGTGACTGGCCTCGACGTATCATCTTTCTTTAACTAGTGAAGGTACATCACAGCGTGTACGGCGGCCAAGATGCTTGAACTCTCCTTCTCCAAAGTCTACTTGACCAACTCAGGTGCATTAGCACATGTTCCTGCTTCACCTTTGTCGGTGCGGTATAAATCACCTTAATTTTTAATTCTTCCCAACGCCTTACGGCATATCTCCAACAGACACTGTTAAAGTAGAAGAGGCTACTAAATGCCGCCTAACCATTCACTCGATTTCGATTTCGAACTTTCTTTAAAACAGTGTTTGTTTGAGGAAAGAAGTTTAAACTCAATTTATTTGCCAACGATATTTACTAAATAGTAAGCATAAATTAAAGCATAAATAAGCATTAATTCAAAGTCTGAACAAAGAGAAATAAACGAGTCAGTCTTGAATAATCATTGTGTTATTAAATTCTTCTTTCCTGTAATTTTTAATAAGCATATTAATAGATACACATGCATCATAGAACAGGTAAATATATAGCTTTCACTTAAAATAAGAAATAGCAATTTGTGCTTTCCGTAAGAAACTTGATGGTTATTTCCGAAATTTGTTTTTTTTTTTTTTCTCTAAGTTTATTTCCTTAATATTGGAAATTTTTGATTGGCCACTTTTATTTTATAACCGTAGTTCTAACGGCAACTAGGGCTTCCATAAGCTCAATTTAGAAGTCACAATTTACTTTCCTTTTCGAGATATGTAATGATCTTGCAATCGAAGTTTTGTTTTTTACTTAACGAACAAAATTAAAATCATTGGCAGGGTTTAAACCAGCGGCTCTTAACCTATGGGTCGCGAAGCATATTTTTTGGGTCGCGCTAAGTCAAATTAAAAAAAAAAACTTTTAATATACAAAAGTAAGTAATACCAACACCTACTAGAAGAGAAAACTTGAAGAGTTTTTTTCTAATACAAGTTATTCTCTAAAACAATGCATTGGTTTTACCGCTCTTCGCGAATGGCCTTCTAGAAGTGACATCCAATTTCTTTTCTGTCTTATAGCTTTCTTCTATGAGGTGTTGGTAATACTCACACCATTGCTTTACGTGCGCGCAGACACAATAAGGTTGTAGGTAACATAGTCTTCTCATTCTCCGGTAGTGACACCTTTTGGTAAAAATTAAAAGCGCTTTCAATCAGCTACTTTTACTTCGACTTTTAAGAGAAACCGGGGAATTTCCGTTGGTTGTAAACATGTAAGCAGATATTATCGATTTAACTCGTGTGAATAAAGAAGTAATAACGGAAAATTGTATTCTGTTAATTTCTGTTTGCATATTAATGATATTTACGTAAAAAAGTTGCACTCCGCTGCAAGTTCTTTGTCAAAAACTCGTTTCTTCTCTTTTCTGTGTATTATGTTGTGAATAACAGTGGAATGTGTAATAATCCTGAAACGTGAATACAAGCATTTAGAAACAATTTTTGTCTGTTTATTAAAAGTGGAGTGATCAAGCTGCAGTGCGTATTGTAAAATTGTAAAATTGTAATCACCCTAAAATGGCAAAACGTGAATACAAGGAAGCATTTTTAGAATTAGGGTTTACTTGCATTTATGATGGAGGA